AGTGGAAGCATGTACTAATAACCGGTAAAAACACCCAGTTTACCAGTGAAAGTTGTCACAGTTCATGGTCCTACAGGGACCAGGAAGGACTGTGAACTTTCCCTAGTGCTTGATCCGTTTTCCTCAACCACGAAATGTCAATTTCGGTTCTTCAAGCTCTTTTTTCGTTTCCGATGCTCATTCCGGGAAGATTAGGTTACCAATAGTTCATGAAAAATGCAAATATTAAATACCGGGAGGTGGTAAATACATGCGTTCAGTAGAAGAGCAACTAAATGTTCTTCATTCGATTCGGTTTATTGACCACGCGCCAGTTTCATTCGGTTTCTTCACGTTTAACAAAGTGCCCAGAAACACAGTAAATACAATGGGGTAAGGATCTTCTCCGGAAAAGTAGTGTTTATTTGTTACAAACAATTTCGAATATCAGAAGGTTGAATATATCTGTCTCACTCAACAATGATTCCAGTGGCACTATGCTGAACGTATTTCACTACATCATGATCTCACTTCTGTTGGGCAATAAGTTTGATTTTGGATGACTTCTAACTTAGTTCCCGACAGCAATTTACTCGGACAGTGGCGAAAGAATTCATAAGACATGGATAAACTTTCATCATCCTCGGCAATAATATACAAATAATTAACTATCTCACTTATTTGTAATATATATTTAAACAATGTACAGCGCTCTCCAGAATCCAGGAAGGAACACTGCCTTGAAGAAAAGTCATGCAATAAATGTGAAATTAGGACTGTGGTGTCACGAGTCGAACTACAAACGAATTGGCTGACGATGTTTTCGTTCAGTTACAGCTACTCCAAAACAACCTTATTTCAGATCATTGAACGATCAAGAAGTTGGATAGATGACCGACCCTAGTGAAATATGGATTTAGTTCGTTGATAAACCATCCTCATGGCTATGTATGATGCGAGCTGGGACATACACCAACTGGTTCTGTTTGTACAAAGATAACCGGTCATCACTCAAACCCAAGCCCAGATCTAACAGAAGTTCACAATCATACAGGCACACCATATCACAAGATTCACGTTGTCCGGACGAGAAGAACTAACCCAAACACTGAGTGTACACACACGGGAACGTGTGTTCCCGATGTGAGTAATTTGTTCGGTTGCACACTCCAAAAGTGAATTATAGCCTATTCGACACAAAAGAAGAATGCAAGATTCATGCCAATCGGCGAACGAGGTGGAAAAATGATTCATTTCTTTGTCACGCCTTTGATTGCCTCCACGTGTAACTCCCATCTCGTGTGCCCCATTCCATTGAATGAGATCTGTAATTGCATAAGATAATTCAGAAAATATCATGTATTCATGATTTTAATTTTTATACCATTTTTTATCAGTCAATAACGAACGTACTCTAGCACCAGAGTAGAGCTTTGAATCATTGAGACAGTGATGATTCATGCGAGGGTGATCCGCTTTGCACAAACATTCATTTGTAATTAGGCCACGGATGAGTCATCGGCTTTTAGTTGACAGGTATAGAATTGGTCAAACCACAACGCGGTAATGGTGAATGTCATCGAGTTATCGTTCTGAAGGACGTGTGTTCGAATCCCACCGCCGCAATCACCTCATCCACACTGTCCATTCTCCGTGTGTTGAATGACAGTCCTCTGATTGAACGCATCCCTCTCCCCCAAAAGTGCATCATTATACATTCAACGGAAGGAGGTAAAACAAAACGGGAGGAGGTGCTAGTGGTTGAGAAGAATCAGCTTAGATATGAAGGCAGGGGTATCATGTCAAGTGTAGTTACTCCACTCAGGCGAAATCGGACATTGAAAAAGAAACATTTCACCACGGTCTAAGGGGAACCTCCAAATAAATCCGGACCTGTTAAGTTTCGAATAGTAGCAACAACCGAGGTGTTTAGCATTCTTCTGTTGAAGCTTAACCTATCAATTCAATACAAGAAGATCGGAGGACACTCTTACTCCCATAGAAAGAAGCGGTTACGTCATGCGTAAGCATGATGATGACAGTGATAAATTATCAGCTACATTGCGCAATGAATGCCTGAAGCACCAATTTTTCACGTTTCTTTTGTCGCGCGCTGCCACTGACAAGACGATGAGGTGTTCCACCTAGGAGCCTCACATTTTAGAAAATTTTCATTGTATAGGAATGTACAAATCGGAAAATGAATTCTTCGAAAAACTGTTTGTATACATTTTGTGTTTTGGGTAAAGCAGTGGGATTAGTTGATGGAGTTCTGATTTCTTGATAATCCGTTTCGGTTCACGAGTCTTCTTTCCAGCTAATAATAATAATAGTGATAATAATCTTTACAACTCACTTGAAAAAATACCACCTAACCGGGGTCGGCATATGTATTCAACATATCCTAATGGATTTGAAATACTGATAAACTTGCAGCTCTTTATGCTACAGTAGTCTGGCATAACTATTTCTTTTGAAAAATGTTGATGGCACTTTTTGTTGAGGCCTGCTGAGGGGCTCTCTCACTTAGCAGTGCACCTCAAGAATTCGCAATGATTTGGATTCACAACTCAAACAGATTGGAGTTCCGGCACAAGAATAACGCAATGCTGACGAGGCCCAGTTAGGATGAAACAGCTTATGGTGATCTTAGCCTACGAGATAACGCCAACCACGGGGAGACACGTTTCAGTTTCTGGTCGACGAACCACAGGCCAATGGTAGCAACCAGTCAGAAATCGTGCGATTCAAAAGGAATCTGTATGATTTCAAGAATGCATACAGGCCATTGGTGGAGACCTGTTGAACCAATGACATTTCTTTGAGTTTCCTCAATAAACTAATCGCTGCTGCTGTCGCCTTTTTCCTGGTTCTTGGTGCAGGGAGTTGCCAGCCTAATATTGCTAGTTCGATTCGGTGCTTTCGTTATAACCGTGATTTATGATCCGCGATCACTACACAGTTGTCCAGTGTTCTGTTTTCTCGATCATTGGCATTGAATACACACAAGTCCCGCTTCCTGTGAGTTGGCATTGCCTAAATAGGTGGATGTTTAACCACCCGCAAATAGTTCACAGGATTACCGTTTCTCTTACACATCATCGTATGGTTTTGTAAATACCTTTCTCACAGTCCTATTGCCCAGCATAACGATAACGGCCGGATATAGGTAAAAAATATGCTGTATCCTTTACATGATGTTTGGTCATGGAAATTACAGGAGTTAATTAGCCATCTGGTTACCTTATTTTTGATTTTCTGATTCGTCAATTAATATCTTTTCATTTCATTTATTTATACGGAAAAAGCTGATCCAAAGACGAATCGCCGAATAGTCGGCAACCGAAACTATGATGAGAGCATATTGGCTGGTGACCGACTCGCGATCTTTGGTCAATCAGCCGACTTCGATTTTACAACGCTATCCGCTCGGATGTATACGTTGTAGTAGTACGACCGCACTGATATCAACTACCGCGTTGTTTTGCATTTCACTTTTCAAAAATCCCAAGATCGTCTATGGACCAAAACTCAATATGGCAAATAAAAAGTATAATGAAAATAGTTACTGACCAACTTGTTGCTGTGATCTTGCTTCTTTCATTTTTTACTTGTGTCTCGTCTCTCCCCACACACAATCATGGCTGCAGTTACACAAACGTGTTTAGTTCAATCTGAATTTTGACTACAACGCTAAAGCGGCTAGCAAAATCCACTTTTGTAAAAACGGCAAGGGAGATTTTTTCACAATGCATGGACTCATCATATGAAGTCGACGTGTTACTATGGCATCGAAAATTTTTGGAGGCTAATTTCCCTTCTGCCGGCAATTCATGTCCGTCCAGGATTCGTAAAAATAACTCAATAAACCGGCGTGTCATTCAGAGGTGTATGACCGTAGAAGTTATTCCCATTGTAGAATTGAAATATCCAAACTTGTTCGGATGCCTGAGTACGTCACGGAGTTCAGCTGTGACAGACCTTGAGACCTGTACCGGAAACGGTGTAAATAATATTTTTGGTTCCATGAAGACCATCATCCTCCCGTTTCGCCTATTCACCTCATAAATGCATAATCATTCTATTGTCCTTCTAAATTAACGAAATTGATGAGTCGTTCAGTCAGTATATATGGTGAATTTCTGCCGACTCGACATAAGCGTAGCGATAGCCAGGCCGTATTTGACCAGTTAAGGCACAGTAGTGGGAATGCACCGGATTGGTTGGTTTCCTACCATACTGACTGACATTCTGAAGAGTTCCATGTGAATAATGGAGGATTTGATTCAATTTCAAAGGGGAAATTCCTCCTGTATATCGTGAATAAAACGTGAACTGAAAGGCTTAGAAGCACTGGACAGCTGTTTCGACCAGGTTGGGTCTCATCAGCAGTGCGAATCCATTGACCCAGCTGGGGATCGAACCAGGGACCTCACAGGTGGGACGCACGCATGAGATCCACTTGGCCGCCGGGCTGCTGATCAGAACCGTTTTTCATTTCTTATTTGCACAACCCATCTTTGCAAGCTTATTGTGGGCCACCAGTTGGGTAGATAGATTCGCATTGCTGATGAGACCCAACCAAATCGAAGAAGCTGTCCAATGATTCCTAGCTTTTAACTTCACGCTTCATTTGCTATTTACGCGACGACGTTCCCCTTTGAAATTCTGAAGAGTGTACAAACAGCAATATCAGTTAAACTTATTGGGGAGTCTCCGTACTTATTTTCTTTTCAAAGCTTTCATACACTCTACGGTTAGTTGAACCAACTGAGACACAACTAGACGTTTGTGAAGATTCGCTGAAAGTCTCCTCTCCTCTCCACTCCACTCAATAAAGAGCAGGCGGATATTTTATTTTGTGAAAAGAGATTCTCATTTTTAACACATTTTCCATGACATTCGTGTACATGTACCTTTGCCATCAAAATGAGTTCACGGGTTTCACTAGACTGTTGAAAACACTCACCGGTTCCTCTATCAACCTCAACCCCCACCCCAAAACACATATTGACTTCCAGGTTTTCACAGTCCTACCATGTCTTGGCCAGTCCCCGGAAGTTTGATGATTGAACCGACTGAGAGCGAATCATTGGCTGAATGTGACCGACTTTGTGACGCATTGATTCACATACGGAGAGAAGTGGACAAAATTTCCGAAGGTGAATGGCCAAAAGACAACAATCCGCTAAAACATGCCCCGCATACGGCTGAAGTAAGCATCACCCCACCCCCACACAAATCGGTTTCATCGAAATATCTTGAATAAATTATTCTCCCATGTGAATGACTTTTTAGGGTGTCTAACAAAGTATTTATCAAGGCAGTTAGGTTTCCAAAACCCTATAACAGAATAACACTATAACAACGAGTGTGTATGTAGGAAGCACCGGCTGCTACTAAAAACTGAAAAACTGCGCTGTTTTCTTTCAAGTCAATAGTCCAATACTTTTCAATTTTTGCACAAAATTGACTTTTCTCGTTACCTCGAAATTTCGCTGAACTAAATCTTCTACAAATTCATTGGTCATTAAACAAAAGCAGAACGATAATGTGACAGCTTGGACACCGATGGTCAAGTTTGGTATCTGCCTCCTTCCCCATACAAACACACAGACCAGCGACAGCATGTCATAACATCGCCAGAGCGTATTATTTATTATTTTGACTCAGTCCCACTTGAAGATCGTCGTTGGGCTGACTATCAGTACAATGTTGGAAGCTCTTGATTATCTTCGCGAAAAACCCATGCTTTTTGAACCGCCGGGGCAAAAGTAGATCCCGAAGTAGTCAAGCCATTATCGCGCCCTTAGTGGTGGTAGCAATAAAAAAAGAGTCAAGTATGCTCTGTGTGAAATGAACAACAGCACCTCTTGCATGTATACGCTACTGGACCAGAAGAATGTCACTTTAATTGGTTTTAGTTAGTGAGGCCGCATCCAACTGAATTTTTTCCTCTTATTGATGTATTCAGTCCATAGGATCCCATTCCACTAACGCTTATGACAATTGAGCACAACAGACGTGACCTAGAATACCCAGGCAATCCTTTGTCATAAAAAACGAATGCCTTCGCATGAGGTCGCTCAAACCGAATACATCTGCATAACGCAGATGCCAGTCTTGTCTACGGTAGAAACTCTGTGGAGAGTTCGCTTTTTGCAATCGTTATAAATGTAGTGCGCACATGCAACTCACATATCCTTGTCTGTATGCTACTCACAAATAACCTCTGTCTGTGCTACTTTGTGTGGAGAAACACCATGGACTCGACCACTCTTAACACGTGGATCTGCTACCGTCAATTCATTTAGTCTAACTTGACCCGGAAGTATTTCTCTGCGCGTTTGCTAATTGAATTTTGCTACTACCGAATGCATGCCCAGAGGAACGCGTAATGAAACAACACAGAAATAGGGAAACTGAAACAGATGTATCGCAATTGGAACGGCGCAATAAATTCAGTTCTGTGTGCTAGCTCGTTGAGCGGACCATGCTGCTACGTGTGATATGGACATTTCTCAAACTTAACCCATCAATTAGTTATGTAATATATTGGCTCTTGATTAACTGCATATGTTTTGTCATCATTTTCATCGCGAATTCAGGTGATGCGATGCACTGAGAGGTGCAACGCAGATGCCTTGTGTTTAGGGGGGGGGTTGGATAATGTGCTTGTACAGCACTAAAGGAAGAGATAAAAGAGGAAAGGTAACAAATGTTTACAAAATGAGAACAACAACAGCGTGGCGAACAAGATCGTTTTCAGTCATTCGTAATCATGCCATTACATAATACTTGAAATTTTGACCCTATGATCACTTTCACACAAGCACACATGCACCCATGATTGGAGCCAGAGCTGGACTATTAAGACTTGAATCTCTCATTCCGTTTGTTCTTATTGTTTGTGATGGTTAATATTACGTAATGGCATGATTACGAATAACTGAAAACGAGCTTATTCGCCACGCCCTTGTTGTTCTCAGTGTGTTCTGTGGGACTAATGAGAGGTTATTTACAAAATGATCCAACATATTGTGTCAGAAACATAATCCGAGTGTTGGTGTGTTCTGCAAGCTGCAAGTGTTGTTCGCAGACGTTTCGTAGCCCGTCTAGGGAGCATCATCAGAGCAACTCGGGGAAGCTCGAAGATATTGTTTTTTTCTCCTGTTCAACACAGCGATTATTCTTTGTCTTATGTCTTCATTAGTATCCGGGGTTATGTTATTTGTCTTTATGGCGAATTGCGGTGTCGCTATGAAGTCTAAACGATTGGAATCAGCATGATGCAGATTCAGTCCTTGAACTAGGTACTGACCGTTCGGCATGTGATAATACTCGGCTGGATAAATCTTTTTCTCCAATCCTATGATTCCTGTTCCCTATTCTGCGGGGTTATTCTGTCCAACTTTCTCTCTAGAGCTGATCTCTTGTGACTTGCTTTGTACGGTTCTTTCTCTAACTTTTCTGGTAATTCGCTGTTCACCACACTTGAAAAAAATTGCTTTTCTCTGTGAATGACCTGTCGATCTTTGGTCAATCGGTTGTGTGCATCAGGGATGAGCACACGAATCATTCTCCAGCTATTCTGTTTTACTACAGATCCCATCCAGCTCGACAGCTGATCGGTGGCCTACACTGGACGCTCAAAAACAATAAATGTCTCCCTCGAACCGCACTAATAGTGTTATCTAATCAGGCTACGAAACATCTATGAACAACATTTCCAGCTCAGTGAACACACCAATACCAATTTCCGCATCTCAAACTACAATCATTCCACACTATATCCAACATAACCCAAGTATTTAAAAAGGTGGACGGTTGAACTTAAAGATAAATCACTGAAATAAAACAAGGAGATAGAGCCACTCTGCAGTACTCTGAATCCATTTACTGCAACCCGACTTGACCTCCACAGGTATTATGCCACGGAGCTCGACAACCATTACTACACTCGTACGGCCTATCATCCACCCTTTACGCGTGTGCAATCACCGGGGAATGTATACTCGTAATCGGTCAATTGGACAAGTCCGCTGTTTCGGAAGTTCGTAATCCTACTCCGCACAAAGTAACAGCTAGACAAATTGAACTGACAACAATATAGCATTATTATTCTGGAATCTATATAAATTAATACCACTGAGGGTGAGACCTCTCTGAAATGACATAACTGGTTTGTGATTAGGTTTCATTTCACTGTCTTCAATTTTACCCACCCTCCCTTTTGTTGCAGAAGAATTATAGTATAACGCCTAAACGGAGTTCAGCAAAAGGACCCTCGGATCTGAGGGCTAAACGCTCCCTACAGCTCTGATTTAGGTCTCACATTCGTTGCCCACCATCATCATCTCATTGGATCCGGACCAGTGCACAGTAATATTGACATAAATGCTGATATTATATGAAGATTTCTAATCTTAGGGCTAGAAAAATCAGTACTTCGTCAATTTGCTCTCCGCAGTTACGGAGTAGTTGAAGCTATCTACCTTTTTCCGGCTCAGATGGTCACAATAATGAAGTAACTTAGGCGTGCCTGCGAATACACCCTTTGTTTTTCCAAATTCGTACACAAACCCAGCCAGAAGGTGTACGTAAGATGTTGGTGCGTTTGTTTTTCACGGTAACAGCTTTGTGCTCTAAGCATATATCCCTTCTGAGTAGCAAGAGGGACAAGTTCGGATTCGAAACTTTCTCTACCAGTATGGCCACGTAGCTGCGACAGCACAGTGCGGTCAATTGGGTCGGAGTGCAAATCAGCCTTAAGTAAATGGATCCGGACCACTTTACAGGGCTCCGCTTCCCCGTTGTTTATTCTTAGCGATTTATCTTCAAATTTACACCTGTTTCAAACAGGCACATCCCGTTTCCAATACTGTGGACTGGTGTTGGTATAGTGTTTTGAAACGATCTTCCGAGTGGGAAAAGTATGAGCCTCCATCCTGGTCTTGATCACAATCTAATTCAATGTGTTGCAGTGCATTCGTAACCTTTTCTGTCCCATCCTGTTACGATTGATGCTGAAACTCTTGTCCAGAGTAAGATCAGTTAAACAACTTAGGGTCGTCACCCTGGACATGAATCATTGCTGATCGTCGCCAGTTGAGGAATTTCACCTATTATCCTTTCAAGTACGTAAACTGGGAAAGTTTTAGGTCACGTGCGGCACAATTTACACATGTTTTTTCTTGTGTATTTTTAGCCTTTGCTGTGTCTCTCGTGTTTTGTGCTCTGGCCTTCTCAAGAAAGGTCCCGGTGGAGGAATGCGGATTATTGCCCGTCAGTTTTTCATTTATTGGGAGAAATTGTTTATTGGTGCAGCAAGCAATGTCCACTGACACACAATTCTTTCCGATTTTGTCCACCGTTCACCGATGTTTCATATTTATTTTCCCCCAAATAGCCAAGGGTGCAAACGTTTTGTGTATTCCTTTTATAAAACATGATGCGTGCTTCGATGAGGTTGAACGTAGGGCATACACTTGTGATACGCACAAGAATATACGACAAAATATACACCAATCATCATCAGATGGATCGAACTTTAGGTGAATCGGGTACCACACACACCGAGAGAACGACCTAATTGGCTTTTCTTACTGTCCCACTCCTCCCTTGTAGGATGTCACTCGATCAAACTGGGATCGACCGTACTCCAGAGAAGAAGCCGCTTTTCCTGCCCCGTGGCAAAGAGATGGTAAAGGTCCATTCGACAAACTGTCCAAGATTTGGCCCGCTGTTGGCCGACTGAATGATGCCTATGGAGACAAACACTTGCAGTGCGTCATGCCTCCAGTTCATCAGACAGGAAATTGTTAATCCATGACGTATCTCAACAGACTGGATTTTTGCTCGATTTTCACAGAGCATAAGACAGTACCAGGGAGAGAAAAAGAGAGCGTGCGACCAAGTAAACCACTTGCTTTTTTATTCAGTTCAATTCAAAAAGCGGCAAAATACTTTAGTAAAACAACTCTCCGAATGTCCGGCGTTCTTTCCTTGTTGTCAACTTCTAACCCGTTCGACAGCTTTGTTCTGCTGTATTTACAATGGTTACGCATTTTGCCCTTCAGTTCCTGTATAAGATACAGGAACCTTTGAAATATGCTCAATTTTCATAACCATTTATTTTTTATCTATTCGAATTGAATCCAGTGTTCTGGTATTAAGACACTGGACATTTGCAAAACACACAGATCTAGTTGAAATTCACTACACGTACTTTTGTTGACGAATTCATGCTTCAAAGAAAGTTGAAAATATACATTGTTGACAACTCATGGTGCTTTGTAAATTATTGAAGATTGTTTTTCGGGTGAACTGCACTGAATTTCACCTGTTCGCCCTGAGCCGGGTAATTTGTTTGCAAACGTGTCATTACACCAACCGAGGTGATGAGATCTTCAGTGCTTGTGAATGGGCAGTGTTCTGCTTGCACCCGTTTGCTGAACTACTTTTGTCCCTTGTTCTCACTGTGTCCGACCTGGTTCTTCGTTAAATTGTTGAAAGACGGTGAAGCTGGAGGTTGTTCTTCCTTCCCGGTTGCGGTTTTCTTGTCCGTTCTTAGTTCACAACGTTACCTTTTTTGTTGCCTCATTTGGTGCTTGAGTTGCATTGGTGTGTACATGCGATTCAATTTATTGAGTAGATTGAAGAGTGAGTGCCAAGTCTCGAGAAATTCTCTGGCGTGTTTTGACCGGGTTTGGTCGATAATTTTTACTGATTTAAAGTCGAATCGATTTCCTTCTTGATCCTCATAGAGGGAACTCAGCATTGATGGTTCATGCCTCCTGACTGTCAATTGATGTTCACGGATCCTTGTTGATAATAGTCCTCCTGTTTGTCCGATGGTGTTTTGAGCCGTTCTTGCACCTTATTTAGTAGATAACTTAACTCTTGTCTTTCTCCATTGTTCTCTCCTTGGGTTTTGAAGGAATTCTCTGTAGGCATGTGGCCAATTTGTGATTGACTTGGATTTTGTATGATTTGAACAGGCTTGCTGTCATTTCCTAATCGACTTTGATGTACGGTAGGGTTGTTCTTGATTATCCGTCTGTTGCTTATCTCCTTCTTAGGGGTAGAGTTATTTTCACGAAGTTACCGGTGTAGACATTGCGAGCGAATACTCTGAAGAGATGTATTTCTTTTTCTTGAGTGTGCGTTCGGATTCTTACAGACAGGGTCCTAACACAGAATTTTTTGTAGCTGTGTGAATGATTAAATCCTAAATTTAGGATTTGATTCATGTGCGTTGCATTGCAATAGACCGTTGTCTTCTTGTCTTTCTTGATGACGTTTAAAACGGCCAGTTGGCCATCCGTCTCCGTCTCCACTGTATGTTTGAAGTCGTTGAATGTTTTATTGATGCTGTGTGCTCTTTCTAGTTCCGACTTCATCCAAAGTGAAGAAGAATAAATTTAAAAAACAAACAAACAGGCAAACGCAGAATAGTGCCACCTCACAAGCACTGAAGACGTCACATTGGCTGGTGTGATGAAACATTTGCAAACAAATTACCCGCCACGGGGCACAAATAAACTCATAGTGCTTATCACCGCAACTTTTAGATATTTCGTCGTAGTTTTTCTCGTATACAATCAAAACGTGTAATCGGTTAATTTGAAAAAAATCAGTTATGAAATAGCAACACCTAACCTCCATGGTTCTAAGCGAAAGTTATTTACGCAGTGGCTCAAATAGACGTTACGCAGCTGACAAAAGAAGAGCTGCAAGTCAGTTAAAATTCTGTTTGTCCCCCATGGTTTCTTGTTTTCCAAAAGACCCTGAGGAGTACAATTTGGTTAAGCGCTTTGGCATCGCTTATCAGGATTTGACATCCAAAAAGAGACTATGTATGAGCTTATTTGCTTAATTTTTTAAACGCAGAACATTATGTTCAAACACAATGAGAACGGAACTGGGGGAAACGGTAATTTTGTACCTTCGACTTTTAAATTTAACACGATCTCGGACGTCACGTGGTCACTAAGAAATCAGCCTTTCTTTCAGAACAAACCAAAGCCCCGCATTATCCTACAAAATAATCGGTTTTCCAGCACAACTTCTGTCGTGGTTGTGGTGCAAACGATTGCCCTTGTGAATTTTGGCACGTTGGCCTTGCCATCAACTCATCACTGCAGTGGAATTATGTTCGAACCCCATCACAACCACCACCTCACTATCCCCATATTCTATGTATCGTATGGCAGCTCTTTGATGGGTCCATTCTCCAGCCTTGAAAAGTACATCATTATTTTCATATTCAATAAAAGTAAATAAGAGGTAAAAATATGTACCGGTTTATGTCAATTGACTTTGCTGCCCTCGATTTTTATTGCAGTCCGCGGACACAACAATTTTGTTATCTTCTAGCAGAATCATCTACTCAGAAACACTTGCTAGAATAAAAAATCGATTATCGTGGAATACAAAAGGTATTTGGATCGCGAGGAACAAANAATTGATTCCAAAAAGATACACCTCGGCTTTGTCGCTACATCAAATACCCTGGTCCATCCAAACTCATCAGCAATTAGATCGCGGCTATCATTTTACCATTTGTCCAGTTCACAAGACCAGATCATCGTTTTACCAATTCAAGTCATCCATTAATCTGTGTGATCAATTCACAGTAGGTACTCAATATGGTCAAATGTGCGCGTCTCGGGTTGTGACTGGTCACCCTACCTTTGGACCTCGCCAAATTCTCTTGTACGATCGAGCGTCACAAAACGCCTCTGCTAAGAAAGTCCTACTCAGTAACTTCCTATGGTGGGTGTGTTTTCCTATAAAAGTGATAGGATGAAAAGCCAAGAACCGGGACTGAACAATTGGTAGTTCACCAAGGGGAGCTGGCTAAAAACCCTGATTCTAAACCCACAAAGAAGAGGTGTACGAACCACACTCATCCATGCCTTACTGTTTGTGGCAGTGGGCATCGGCCCGATTGATCATCGAGGTATTTGGTGCCTTAGAGGTTTAATCCCGTCCGAAAGGGTATATGATCCGAAGAACTGGGTTGCGGTTTTCCCAAATCACCCGATGCCTTAAAGGTTAGACTTTGGTTAGTCGAAGGCTACGGGAGTGAATTCCCCAAGAAAACTCACCTGCCTAGGTCTGGGCAACCTGACAGTATGGTGCGTACTAACAAATAATGCACTGATTTGTTTGAAACAGAAGTCAGTGAAACAATAATATATAGCAATATTCGTAAAAGTGATTAGACGTACTTCATCACGATACACCGTTCCGGCCGCTTCAATGTTTCGATCGTGGAAATACACATTATGCTATTCAAAGGTTGATCAGATGAAATTCGCTTCACCGGATCAGCTGTTGTGATTTATCCACCTATCACCGATTCATGGTGATACTCACTTATGACAAGTACATATCACTTATGCCCAACACTACTGAATTATTATTTTTTCAACACGTAAAGAATTACACGGAACTGGCAAATGTGCCACAACATATGAACAAAAAGAAATCTGAAGAATGTGTTCATAGGTTTTGTGGGTCTGTTACTTCCCGGTTGCCCTGGCCGAGAAAAGGGGATAACCTCGGAGTCCCCACCCGGAGGCTTTGGCTAGAAAGTCAAACCTGCAAGACAACAGGACGGAGTTCAGAGTCTGCAGTCCATTGGGGGCCGGTGTCCAGTTCATCGGATCATACGCCCTTCAGACGGGGTTAAACGTCGAAGGTGCCCAATATACCTCGATTCACAGTCGAACCGGTGACCACTGCCGCCACCAGGAATTTGTGTGTGGTTCGTACGCCTCCTCCCGGTTGGTTTGGAATCATGGATTTAGCCAACTCCCTTAAGTGGACTGCCAGTGGTCCACCAACCCAGTTATAACCCCGGATGTCGGCTTTTCGTTCTCTCACTTTGGTGGGAAAAACACCCCCGTCAAGGTAAGGCAGTGAGTAGGGCTTCGTCAGCAGAGGTTATTTGAGACGCTTCGTCATATATTTTGCGGGGTGTGAGGGAATGATGACCAATCACAATCCCAGACACCCACCCGGACCATATTGAGGCTTTCGGAGGAATTAGTGAATTGCTTGCAAGGTGGCTGTTGTATCCCGTATAACTCAAGTGCGCAAGTAGTGAATTAAGTAGTAATTATACTTCCAGTATGTAAACGCAAACGTAGCCGGTGAGCAAGCAGTGCGTCAACACGCAGACGGGCAGGCACAGAAACTGGCGCAATTCTTACCAAAAGGAGTGTCGTCACGCTGGACAGTTAACGAACCAATCAATGAGGAGAGATCAATACTGACCGATAGCACAAAATTACGTCATTAGAATAACCCCGGTGCCTTGGAGATACAGTTACGTATTCTGATAATAATGTTTCCTAGTCTTTCCCATTTTTTTGGTATTATCAATTCATGTACTACTACTCATTCCTTTTTGTGAGATTTTTTGTTCCTCGAAAAGTTATCCTTAAGTTTGCATGCATGCAAAGTACAGTTCTCCTGTATTTTCCCCGAGCTCAAGTTCGTTCATTGCCTGGCAGCAGTTTTCCCCAGAAATAGTGAAGCATCCAATCAGTTCCTAATGAATTTTTTAACTGAACAATTCTATGCAAACATTTAGTTTTCGGAAGAATCCATTGTTTACACGAGGAACAAGCGGACGTTAAGCCCAATCGTTGTGCGAGCTCTAACTATTCTAATGTCTGCGTGCAAGACATCTGACAGGAATAGTATAGTTTTTTGTTGCTGTTATTTCGGCAAAACTGGACTGCAGACTGTACCTAGTCTCCCAGACAGATTAATAGGCTGGATTCGTTTTTGTTCTCATCCAGTTTTTACCT